CCTTACTTTTTCATATCCTACCTATCACATCATACTTTTTCTCTAATAATCTATCCATCACATCTTACTTTTACCCATCACATCAGGGGCAAAATTGAAAATCAACTACTCCGTATAATTTAACACTTCCTTATTTTTGCCCCCAAATCAAAATGGGAAGTCTTTTTGCAAACGGAGGGAGTATAATTTTTCTATCGTTTGAATAATCGATCACATAATTTTATTAGAAATTTGTTTTATATAATACCAACACTTATTTCCCTACATAATACTCCGTACTTAATATATTAGATTTTGAAATATGGAGTATTTATTTATTTTATTGATTACCAAAATGTCCGTATACATCAATTTTAATTATAATACTCCCTCCGTCCCATAAAGTCATTCTCATTTCGAAAAAAATTACGTCCTTTAAAGTCATTCCCGTTTCTATTAAAAATCACTTTTTACCCCTTACTTTTTCATATTGTACCTATCACATCATACCTTTTTACCCCGCCGGCGTTAAACGGGCGTGAGGAGCCCTGCTTCATTCGTTTGACGCGGCGTGACTCTTGCGCGGCTCCCTCCTAACGGCTAAAAAAGCCGTTGCAGCCCACATTTAAAAAAAAATTTTCCCTATAAATTCAACCCCCCAAACTAATCTCTCACACCTTCTCTTCAATCTCTTCTTCTTTATTCTTTTTAAATTTCGAAATTCAAACCCCCCTCCCAATTTTCAACATGAATCCTTCCGACTCCGGCTTCTTTCCCGACGATCTCCCGCCCGTCGACGCGCGATGTGGTATTACCAAGAGTTGGGCGATCGACCGCCGATGTACGAGACGCAACAATCGGGATGAAAGTCATGCAAACCGACCCCGGGACGTTGTCGGAGTTTGGACGAATTATCTACGAGCAAAGAATGAGAGAGATCAAGGAGAAATATAATTTACCTTAGTTTTTTTATTAATGTATTTTTTTAAATTATTGTCGCTTTTTTTATTTAATTAATGTGTTTTTTATTATTCGTGTTTCAATTTAATTAAATAATAAATTAAGTGCATTTTATTAATTTAATTTTAGAAGATGTATATTTAAAAATGTAAAAAATGAAGGTTTGAAGTCCAGTTTTGAAGCCCCGGGGCTTCAAACCCATTTCCAGTGAATTTTGGGTGTAAGTTAAAGCTGACGTGGCAGAGAGAGAAAGTTTGAAGCCCCGGTTTGAAGCCCCGGGGCTTCAAACGTATTACCAGTGCTCTAATAATCTACAATCATATTCTACTTTTATTCATCACATCAAAGGTATTTTTGAAAAATCAACACAAAATCATTCCTCATTATTTTACCACTTTAGTCAAACCGTCCATATCTTTATGGGACGGAGGGAGTACAAATTATACCTTTAACCCTAATTCTAACCAACACGTCTGAACGACTAATTGTTTCTTTCTTTTAATTAGTTGGAAAGTCTTTTTTTCTTTCTTCTTCTTCTTCTTTTTTTTTTTTTGTAAAATTTGTCTGTGTATAGTGCCAGAATTTAATGTACGTTTCACTAGAGTTCAACATTTAACTTTATTTTGAAAAACCTATCTAACAATTATAACATTTAATTTAGCATTTTAAAAATTTATTTTTAAGATTGAAATACTAACCCAAATATTTAAAAACGTTGTTTCAAAATGAGGCTTTAATATCTTTCCCTCATTATACTTTAAGTCTTTAATACTTTAGATTCCAAAAACAAGATTTTAAATATTACGAATTAATTATCGCCAAAGTTCCGTTGACACTGTCATCCAGTGTCAACAAATGACACACATTTATTTCGAATGAAAAATTGATAGTTCCTATCTCCCTAACCCCCATCGCACCCCGCCCTAGTCCCACCCCACAATCGCACCCTAGAATTTCATTTTACCCCTCTAAATATGTGGCTATTATGCATTGCATTATAGCCACACATTTGAGGAGTAAAATCGGGGGTTTAGGTTGGTGTTGGGGTACGACGGGAAGTTTAGGTAAAAACCATCAATTCTAAAAGCGGCTCTAGAGGTATTCGAAATAGGTTAGTGTCATCCGTTAACACTGAATACCAGCAGTAACAGAACTTTGCCGAATAACTGATTAACTGTTTCTCAAACTTAATCCATCTCTAATATTGTCAAAATAAACACGTCAACATCATACTAGAAATCTGAGATTATAATAAGAGTATCATTAAAAGAAGAAGATAAAAAGTCACTATGGATAATATATTTTGTTGTTTTCAAACCAGGTTTGGGTTTGTTAGGTACACGTAAAGAATATTCACGGCGGTAAATGTAAGGAAGTAATCAAATTAATCAAAGACTAATTAATTAATTTAAGGTACAAATGAAACATGATATTATTATAGTAATAAAAGTGAATCATGGAAAGCAATCAATCGTAGTGGTTATCATCGTCTGTAAAGGTAGTAAGTGATTGGGTGATAATGAGATCTCTCCAATTCATATTTATTAAAAAAAGAAAGAAAAGAAAAGATATCAACGGTAAATCCTAGGAGGTTGATATGGTATGAATTCTCAAAGTAAAAGAAATACTCTCTCCGTTCTTTAAACACTTCCTATTTTAATTCTGAGCCAAAAAAAAGAAAGTGTAATTTTAGTTGATTTTCCAATTTTGTCCCTAATGTGATGGGTAAAAGTAAGATGTGATAGTTTGATTATTAGTGAAAAAGTATGATAAGATAGGTAGGGTATGAAAAAGTAGGGGTAAAAGTAGTTTTTTACTCTCTCCGTTCCACAAAACCCTTCCTCTTTCGTTTTTTTGCTTTCCACAAAACACTTCCACTTTCTATTAAAAACCCACTTTTACCCCTACTTTTTTATACCCTACCTATCACATCATACTTTTTCACTAATAACCAAACTATCACATATTACTTTTTCCCATCACATCAGGGGCAAAATTGGAAAGTCAACCAAAGTTATACTTTCCTTATTTTTCTCCAAAGTCAAAACTGGAATGAGTTTGTGGAACAGAGGGAGTAATAGAAAGTGGAAGTGTTTTAGGGAATTGAAAAAAAAACGAAAAAAAAAGGGTTTTATGGATAGGAGGGAGTAATATAGATATTGAAATCTGAAATTAAAGTGTTTGGTGAGATCTTAATGATGGTCACTAGCGATGAGTTAGGTAGCCGCCGACAAGGCTAGTCGACGAGAAGGGAAGTGATCGACGGTTGCAAGAAATATCAAACACTCAAAACCCTAAATTGATATCTCTCTCATTTGACAGTGTTAGGTTGTGATACCTGGATCAGAGATATCAAATTCAAACTCTATTTAGACTTCACCAAACACTACAAAAAGGCTATGATATATGAAGATATCAGAACTCATACTTTTTGCACTCACCAAACAGGCCTAAGGTCTCCCGAGACCCATTGATCAGTTACTCAAAGAAACGAAACTATAATCTAAATCCGACAAATAAATAAAGAATGAGATATGACTATATTATTTCATATTTTGCAGGGGCATATTCATCGTCATCGCCAGAAGTTGAACTATTATTAGATCCCTCCATTTCATATTTCAACTAAACTGCCCAAGTCTTTCGCCATTTCCAAGGTTTTTTTTTAAAAAAAATTGATTACTTTGATGATATATGGACTAGTACTACAGAGTACCTTCTTTATCTAAGTTGGCATAACTTCTTCAAGAATGCTTGTTTACCATTGTCAAAAGAAGAGCAGTCCTGCTGGCTGGCTGGCTTCAAAAGGCCTGCTAATTGCTAACAGTACCAGTAAGAGCCCAACCCTTCATCTCTCTCTCTCTCACTATTCTTTTCTTTTTATTTCTTCTTTTCAACTACACTTTTAGAAGCATTTAATTACACGTAGTATGTACTTCATAAAACACTTATAGAGTTGTTCAAAGAAAAAAAAAATTAAAAATATAAAGGGAAATCTATGGCTATGATTGTTGGTGTACAAATGGGGTACACCAAATGGTGTACCCCTAGCATTCCTCATGAACAAAAATGCTAGGGGTACACCAATTTTTGTACCCCATTTGTACCCCCTCCATCTCCACCACACAAAAGCAAGAAAAGAAAAAAAAAATTAAAAATATAAAGGGAAATCTATGGCTATGATTGTTGGTGTACAAATGGGGTACACCAAATGGTCTACCCCTAGCATTCCTCATGAACAAAAATGCTAGGGGTACACCAATTTTTGTACCCCATTTGTACCCCCTCCATCTCCACCACACAAAAGCAAGAAAAGAAAAAAAAAATTAAAAATATAAAGGGAAATCTATGGCTATGATTGTTGGTGTACAAATGGGGTACACCAAATGGTGTACCCCTAGCATTCCTCATGAACAAAAATGCTAGGGGTACACCAATTTTTGTACCCCATTTGTACCCCCTCCATCTCCACCACACAAAAGCAAGAAAAGAAAAAAAAATTAAAAATATAAAGGGAAATCTATGGCTATGATTGTTGGTGTACAAATGGGGTACACCAAATGGTGTACCCCTAGCATTCCTCTAAAATGAATTCTACCATGTCTATTATACTACAGTAACTTTCAAGTTTCACTTGCCACTATGACAAATTTTCTCAAATAGAGGCACCAGGACTCAAACTTCACTCATATCAAATTCTCAATTCATACTCCATCCGTCCTAAAAAAATATTACTCTGTACCGAATTTGGCATTCACACTCTTTGAGGAAAGTGAATAATATTTGGTTAAATTTTGTTTGAATGAAGAGGAAATCATTGGTGGAAACTGAAAACTGTTTTCTGGAACATAGGGAGTATTGAACTCGCGGAATATACCATGGGATAGAGATCATGAACTGCGTAGGGGTGTGCCTGTCCTTTTTACGCATTGCGTTTAGGACGGGGTATCCCGAGCACAACCAACAGCTTCGAATGGTAGCACTTGGGTTCCAAAATAGGTTCATGTTTGAATTTAAGGAAGAACTGTAGTTTTTCTTTCATTTTAAAATGCTACTCTCAACCATACAAGTTCAGTTTATGTATAAGCTATAAACTCTCAAATAGAAATAGCTCTTCAATGAATCTTTGAAGTTGCCACATTTACTTTTCCATGCACAATGGGATTAGCAAACAATTTGTTTTGTCAAACTAAGACCCACCCAGTCCTTCACATACAATGAAATACAGTAATGGACATGGTGTTTGGGATAGCATTTAGCAATTACAGTATAAAGCAATAATAAAAACACAATTCTCCAACTCCAGTCAGCTTAGCAAGCAAAAGTTGATTGGGGGATACCGTAGCGGCTTCTGAGTGTGTCAATGGCTTTCTCAGCAGACTGTAAAAGCTCGGGGATGGATGTTTTGCAGACTGAAATTTCAACAAAAAAAAACATAATCGAATAATCATCCAACAAGTTAATGGAAACAAGTTGTGTGTCATGAATTCTGCACCAGTTATGTCACTAATCAGGAAAACCAATACTCAATTCAGTGAGGTATGAGGATTGTGTATAAGTGTGCATGCATTCTAAAGCAAAAAAATGCATCATCTGAATCACAGTTACTAACTACTAGTAAGAAACATGATATTAACTTGAGGTATTTAATTATCTGATCTAAGATCCAATGCATTGGTGTTACAAATGAAACATTATAGGTCTGAAGATTGAGGGATAAAACTTGTAGGAACGTACAGCGAGATGAGTTGGTCTGCACTTCAGCTAGGAATTCACTGTATGAGTCCTGAATACAAATCAAAAATCAAATCAATGGAAATGCAGCACAAACATTAGAAGAAACCAGGATATTGTTCTATCAATTAAGTGTTACTATAAAGAGCAAAAACTGAAGAGTGGAAGACTGACCTTCATTGCCTGTCGACCTTCGTTGATTCTCTCAGACATTTTCTTATGTTCCCTCTCTGCTTCATCTGCTTTTTGCTGCCAATCTTGTGTTTGAATCTGTTTAAATTCTCGATAATGAATGTAAGATTTCAGATTATTCCAGTTCCGACTCAAATGCAATGCTCCCCTTGCCCATTTCTCCGTGTTAACAAGATTTAGCAAAGTGTAAAATGAACAGACACGACCAAACAGAAAATGCCAGCAACGTGCAGTGGCCTTGTAATGCTAACTAATACTCCGTAAAGCGTCCATTGCTCACAGTACGTCGGCCTTGAAATCATGCATTTCCATCATGAAATTACACATTTGCACTATTATTAGGCATCACTTACTGTGTTGAAGCTTTATCTGTTATGACAATGCACTGATTGAACTATGGGGATAGTGTGTGTAGTACAAGAACAGAAGTCATGCAATGGAATCATCCAAACACATGCATACAACAATACAAGTATGTAGCCACAGGATAGCAACGGACTTCAACTTATTAGCAGATGACTCTCTGCAATGACTAATGCTTAGTTTCCCAAGATGTGCTTGAATCAAAATGTCTCCGAAATGGTGAAAAGCCTAAGCTGTAGTGCTCTAATTTTTCCAGCACGCCTAAGGATAATCAGTTTGGAATTATCAATCTATGAAGGTGTTTCAGCACAGATTTGTCAAAATGGAGATCCGAAGATGGATCACAGAAAAGCCTATAGCTGATAAAACTAAGTATATCATATTTACATCAGAAACGCACAAATCAGACCAACACAATTTTCAATTCACAAATCAAAATCACGGAGCATTTGAGTATTTCAAATCAAAATCATGTAATTCGCATACACGCACACCTTTATCCGCTTGAGAACGCGAGAGTGAGAGGATTCAATTTCCTTCAGGATCTCCGAGTGCGAGCAATCGAGCTGGTGCTTGATGGATTGCAGTCCAGAGGAAGCGAAGTCCTTCAGATCGTCTATCGTCTTGCAATTTTTCATCGGCACCGGTGACTTTGGAGGCCGCATAGGTGTGTAGCTCTTTCCTGTACGGCGATTCTTCGAGGACGACGGCGGCGTCAGAGAAGCAACATTGAACGCACTGAACTTGAACTCGAATGGCATTGGAGACTGGCTGACGGAACGGTTAGGGCTCTTCGCTGCCGCAGTCGGCGGCGTCTTCAGATGGTCCTCCGCCACCGACTTCCTCGTAGCCGTGGATCTCTTCCTCATCTTCCTCCCGGTGGTGATCTTCGATCGTGTTGCTTCAGACGTTCAGAGAGCTCTGCAATATTTTGAAACCGTACCCGAGAAATTCGCGTATTTATGATGGCGGGTTTTTCAGAAATTGATCCGAATATTTTATGCTTTCAAAAAAAAATCCGAATATTTTACAGCATTTTTTTTACAAATGGACCAGGGTCCTAAAGCCCGTGTTAATTAAACAAACTCTACGTGGGCTAAATTGGGCTGACAACCCCCATTGAGTTGATTACTTTTTCGTTTAATATGGGTCAATTTTAATGATAGAAAGGGGCCAATAATGGTCTCTTTTGACATCAAAGTTGAAGATTAGCATTAGCGTTTTGAAAAGGTTATCGTGACGGTATCCTCCAATATTAGCATTTTTAGAATTAATCTGCATTATTAAAATTTTATTCAAATTTCTAACGCTAATTGAAAAAATATTCTCAACAAGGTCATCATTTTGTTTAATCTATCGAAATAATATAATGATTAAAATGGATTCGATGTAGGAATGAAAAAGATGGAAGTCATAGGAATGCTCGATGAACTCAATTAATTGTCCCCTTCCAACTCAGATAAGATATATTCATAGGATGAGAAATGTTAGAGGTACACTAAATAGAGAAATGAAAAATTAAATTAAAATTATATAGATAAGACATATTAATAAGTCAGCTTATGAGTAAAAAATATCATCAACTGATTTATAAATTAAAATAACTTATAAACTGTATAGACTAACTTATAAGTAATTAAGTACAGAGATCGACTCACCTACATAATTATTTACAAGATGGACTAGTTTGGACTTGTATTTAGCATTGTGCAATGTTAAAACACATACCCAATTATAACAAGTTTGTTTTAGAGATAACAATCATTCTATATTTAGATAAAGAATATAATTTACTCATATTTTGAATGTTTTTTTTTGCCAAATATACCTAGAGAATGATATATTTCCACTAGATCATAGTTTAAAAATGAGAGACCTAAATAAAGTGAGAATGTATAACGTGCACTGGATTGTACGTAAAATTAGATACATCCGACAAATATTTATTTTGAATTAATAAAATATTTATTTTAAATCAACACAATGTATCTTTTTAACCGTAATATTTATTCTAAAGTCTCATCAAGTATAATATTCATTTGAAATAACTTATTTCAAAATGGGGTCCCCTCTCGGGCATCATAGTAATCACCTTATCCACAACATCATTACATCAGCTCCAGTGGCTCCATATCTCCGATCTCCTTCCCCATTCCCCATTTCTCCTCTTCCATTCCCCCCACAGAAACCGAAGTTCAGCCGCACAAATTTACACTGCATTTGATTGCAGTAATATTTATATACACACAGCTGCATCGCGTGGGAGATGATCATAAAGGGGGTGTTCCGGAGAGGCAAAAGGTGGGACCCGGTCCGCCCCATGTACGGATCCTTCTGGGGCGTTGGAATCGGGATCGGGTGCGGAGTCGGATGGGGACCCGGATTCGGCCCGGAGGTGGTTGGCTATGTTGGATCCGGATGCGGCGCTGGGTTCAGTATCGGCATCACTCTGGCCGGTTTCGGGATCGGCCTTCCCGCCAATTCCTTCTTCACCAATGGTTAGTTATTCACATCTCATTCTTATTTACTTCATTTATTAAAAATTTTGAGTAAATTTCATAAATGGACTCCCAATATTTAATACTCCTATAGTTTTTCATATTTAGTCTCCAATTATAAGATACTCCCTCCGTCCTATAATGATCTTCTCTCGGTTCGCAAAACGAAGAAAAATCCCAAGTTTTTTCAATCTATTTTATTTAAATATTGGTATAGAAATAAAAAATAAAACATACATATTTAAAAACTACACCAAACGTTCAACAAAACAAGTGGTGACAAGAATATTTTATTTTATCATATAAGCCATGAAAAAACACAAATAAATATAAATTCCCGTGAAGTTGGAATAGTGCTTTGGGAAGATTATTATAGGACGGAGGGAGTATTCTATAAACCGTTCTCAATTTTTGAAAATTATTCTACAAATAGTCTTTTTAATCAAATATGACTATATATTTTTAGTAAATTCTTAGAATGATTCTTTTTAATAAGTTTTTTTCCAAAAATTACTAACATGTTCTTTTTTTAACTGAGATGTGTTTTGTAAAGTCTTTTATAAAAAAAAAGTCTATTAAATGACAGTTAAATAGAGGATATTTTGATGATCTTTATTATCTAAACAATGAATATGTCCTCAAAATGATTTTTTTAATTAAGTGGGAAACACATCTCAATTACAAAGAGTATTTAAGGAAAGCATCTCAATTATAAAGGCTTATCTAAGAAACAATCTCAATTATAAAGTACTCCGTATCACATTAGTAATTTTTGCTTATTGAAGATTACTTTAGAAAAAACCTTATTACAAAAGATCATTTTGAGAATTTACTCAAAATATTTTATCATATTTGGTGAAAATGACTATTTGTAGAATAAATTTCAAAAATTGAAGACTATTTATGGAATATCTTATAATTAAGGACTAAATATGAAAAACTGTATATACTCCGTAATTGTTACTCTTAAATTTTTTTTGGTTACTCAGAAGTCAAATCATAGCATTTTACCAATGGATTATTATCGTTTTTGTTATTGTCAGGAGTTTCTGGATCAAGCAGACTAAGGAGTATTTCCGAGTTGCAACAGAAAATAGGAAGGACTTTTGGTAGTATAATGGTGAAAGATTATATGAAGAATACCATAGATTTCTCAGGCTTGAAAAGCAAAGGACTGTGGCTTACAAAAAGGCTTTTGGATGGAAAGGAAGGAAGAAGGTGAAATCAAATGTATGGAGAGCGGGTAGGGAGAATTAGGGGTGTTCATCGGTCCAGGACCGGACCGAACCGGACCGAAGACCGAAATGAGAAAAAATAAAGACCGAAGACCGGATCTATAAGAAATCGGTCTTGGACCGGTCCGGACCGAAATTCTTAGGACCGAACCGGTAGGACCGAAAAGACCGAATTTTTTTTAAGTTTTTACGGTTGAATATTTAAATATTGTATAAGGAAAACACCACGGTTGACAAAGATGCATGGAATCATAAACCTAAGCAAAGATGCATAAAAAAAGAAATTTGCAGCATCCATGACAAATATGCATTAAAAAAAAAGTAATTTGCATAAAAAAACTGAAACCACGGAATTTGAAGCAAATAAAAAGTAATCTGCTGCATCCATTCACTGAACTTGTAGCAAAAACACCACAAATGTAAATGCACCCAAAAAAAAGTAATTTGCATCCATCCATTCACCCAAAAAAAGCAATTTGCATCATCCAGATCTCCAGCAATTTATGAAGCAGGTAATGGAATTGGAAATTTTACCCTTTTGAGAAGCCTCAACACTCCCCTCCAGATCTCCAGCAATTTATAAATTCCAAATTTCTTAGCAATTTCCACAATTTAGTTGACAATCGGATAGAAAGAGAAATACAAAACCATGTGTTCGTGCGAATGTGCGATTGTGACCAGGCTTGGAATCTTTAGTCGGAGAAGATGACGGAGAACATGGGGTTGATTTTAGAGGTAGAGGGAGTGGGCGACTTCAATTTCAGAGAGGATGTAGTCATGTAGAGTCGATTCACTCGATTCTAGAGAGTGAGAGAAGACGACGATGTGCGAGAAGGGAGAGGTCGGCGGAGGATTACTGATTTACATCGATGGATTTGTGAGGCTAAGAATCGGATAAGGCCCTAAGCGTAAATTATCGGTCTATGGGTCCAGACCGAAATTTGTTCGGGTATAGACCGGACCGGACCGATACCCGAAATTAAAAATTATCCGGACCGAAGACCGGACCGATATGATATCGGTCCGGTTTCGGTCTGGACCTAACGGTCCAGTTCGGTTGGTTTTTCCGGTCCAGACCGAAACATGAACACCCCTAGGGAGAATTGAACTTACCAAAATTTACTATGGGGTAGCATAACTCATTCGGTAAAAAGTAAACCGTAACTTCATAATGCTTCTAAACATACTACTCTGTACTCCGTATCACATATTGTACAAAGTAAGTAAGTTTCAATTACTACTGTATGAGGAAACGTATTGCCTATAAAGATTAGCAGAAGAGGACTCTGATGTAATTTAGAGAAATGCCAGTTTCTTCCCTGTAACCTTGGAAGTAATCCCATCTTTGCCCTTGTCATTTTACATTTTTTATTCTTCTTTTGGCTTATTGTGTTGGGTTCCATGGGCTAAAATGCTAGATTTTATCAACAAAAGTTACTTTAAACATGTGGTCATTATTTAACTTAAGGTCAATTACAATTTCTACCTTATTTGATTGCATTAATGGAAGGAGTAGTACTGCCTCAGGAGTAAAATCGAAATTCTTTGTATATTCTCTCTCACAACTGGATTTAATTGTTATTTTCTTGTTTTCATTTGTTTTCAGTTATCCACCCTCCATATTCAATAAAGAAACTATGATAAAGATTGTTACTAAATTCATCCCTCATTTGACTGTATCTACCTCATTTTTATATCAAAAGGACAAGTTTACCCATAAGTGATTAAAAGAGAAAGGAAAGAAGTAAAAGGATAAAGTTGTTCATCTCTTATAGATAGAGTAGATTTGAACAGGACAAAGTAGCATTGTTGTTTGAACTTTACCCATCATCTTTCAAATGTGCAGGTAAGCAGCCTCTGGCAAATTTATTAAAATGTGGCATGACAGAGTGAGAGAGTACAACTGCCTCTCAAATGGAGTCATATACCACAACAGAATGAGAGTCCTACTAAAGTGTGCAGCTATTTGGGGACACTCATTCATTTATTTATGAGGTGAGGGTATCAAAGATGAAGGTTTGAGTGTTGTGGTGAGCCAACCATACATAAATAAAAGATCATATGCAAACAGAGAACCTTTGTTGATGCCTTCATATATGCACAACCTGAGGACTGCTTGGAACTGTTGTCTCTCTCATCATCTCAAGCATCTGCATGCCATACATACATATTGAAATGAGTTTGTAGATCAGATATCTTGCCATTTGCCCTTATGGGTCTAGACTCTTACTAGGCAAAGAAAATAGCAAAAAAACCCATAAGAGGACAATTGGAAGAAAATAATATGGAAGTAAGAATGCCTCACCTACTGCCATAAGGCTTTGTTGTTATTGTTGTTGTATATGAAGCCTAACACTTCGGTATAAAGAAATTGGAAGGAAAAGAAAAGAAAATGATTTTCTCTCAATTTCCAAAATGGGGGGGAATTTTGTTTTCCATCCTCTTAATACATTTTTCCTTCCCATTTTCTTTTCCTCTATAACCAAACATGAAGAATTGTTCTCCCCCTCATTTTCTTTTCTTTTCTCAAATTCCTTGAACCAAACATAGTGTAAGAGAACTAAATATACAGCTGTGTTGAATTTATAGGAATAAATCATATTTCATTCTCATTTTTTGCATTTTCCAGGGTAAAGAACAAACATATTAGTTATTTTCTTCAAAATTTGTTACCTTTCCCTAGCATTTTTCATATGATCTAAACATGCCCAATGTAAAATTCTAACATGACTAACAGGGTGTGTGTGTGTGTGTGTGTGTTTATGGGCACACCTTAAAACTCACCATCTCGCAAACAGGCATTTCTTGAAGAAGAAGAAGAAAATCCAGAAGTGGTCATCGGAATGGATATCGAGAGCTGGGTTGTATTTGATCCGTCGCTGTCAAGATTGGACCACGATTCCTTGGCTGCTGGCCATTCGCTGAAGAAAGAGCGAACGGACTGTTGCTCCTGCTGCTGCTTTATTGTCCCCCCAGACGCACCAATCAAAGGCTCGAATGCACCCGACAGATGCACATGGGGCGATGAACTTTCTAGAAACAGAGAGTCATTTTTCAGTTTCAACATGGGACTGGAAGACACTTGGAATGGCACTGAATTCCATGAGTGATTGTCAATGACTGAGCCCATCCCCAGACTCCCACCACTTGCAGCAGATGTTTCTCCAGGCAAATTGTGTTCATTTGCATCAGAATTCATTCCGGCGGGGGTATACCTGTGTTTTGAATGTTAAATATCAACACATTGAAACATTTAGTGTATTTTTTCGAACATGTAAACTTTAGTTACTAATGCTAGAACTAAATTTGTGTGGGAAAATTAACTTTGACTTCACTCGAACATCATAATCCAAAATAGACCTAATAATTTGGGACAGTGTGAAACCAGTTTAAGCATTTTATACATTTCTACATATTGGATCAAGGCCCAATGTTTTGTGGTAAGGCCAAGATCGCGGTCCATGAGCTTGCAATTGCTACATATTTTGTTGGATACTACGTGTTGCGATATGTGTGTGGGGCGACTGAGCTTAGACCCCCGGTATGCTATAACTACTCACGTCATTCTGGTTGGGTCAGCAGTCCTGAAGCTCTGACCCAAACAGCCAAACTGGACCGAGCTCGCACTTTGCCAAGCTTAAATCAGTGTCCCACTCTCCTTGCGCCCTTGGGCCTCTGTCCTACCTTGTCTGAGTCGAACCCATATGGGCCTGGGGTGCACAGCCCATATCTCCATCAAACTTAAAGCAAATGAATCACTCCACCAAAGTTCAAGAAATTTTAACAGTAGTCTAGTACTAGTAAAGCCTATCAACTCTTCAATTTTCTATAATAAGTAATGATATGGTTTAACTCCTAAATGCTATATATCTTAATTTTTTTACAATTCCATCTCCCCTGCCACTCATCTTATCAATTAATATTGTATTTGATGGATATATCCGGCTTGCTACACGCCCAACCCTGCTTTCATGGGATTCCATTGAGTTGTTGTATCACACTTGCTACACGGCTCATGTTACATGGCTTCAAAGAACTATAGGTTGTAGAGGAGGTCCACAAAAAAGGAAACTTGGTCCGGGAGTTGGGCTCAAGCCAGCCCTCAATCACCCGAGTTCAAGCCTAGCTTTAGCTTCTTAGACGGAGAAAGGCTAAAAAAAGGAGATACACTAAAGATCAAGAAACCCGCATGTACAACCTGGGCTCGACTCCTGCGATGAACCAAGCTTGACCTTGCTGGTGAGGAACCAAGTTTCTATCCTAGGTCACAGCCCAAAGCATGCTGCCCTCTAGTTCCTATCCCCTTTTGTACACTGATTTTGTTTCTCTTCTACTCTTTTATTCAACCTTTCTGACTTCTATGCAGAGCAGATTTGAGACAACTATGTTGCTTATGCATGCCTGCGTATATATTCGTTTTGCTTATTCGCTACTAGGTTAAGCTAGAATATCTCAAACTACACATTTAATAGTACTATTGAGAACCTTTTGCTTGACATGAAATGCTTATTCCTTCATATAAGTTGTTGTATATGTCACATAATACATGGTACCATTCAGCAACTTTTGATTTTGTATGATGCATATTTCTTCATATTCATAATTTTATAATGCATATTCCTTCATATTAATTATTGTACAATGCATATTCCTTCATACATGAAATCTAGCTATGGATCGACTTGCTATAACCTGGACAAATCGAAAGAGGTGAGATTGTGCGAACCAAGCTGAGAGTGCTATTGGAGAGTGAGAACACTAATTGGATGCTAAGAAAGACCTACACAATGTTGTTGTTTTGAGACAAGAAAGGAACAACCTGGGGAGAGATTTGAATGTTGTAAACAACGAGATTGTTGTCCAGAGGGCGAATCTCCTAGCTAGAGAAAGTGGAAGGGGACAGATTGTAACGGAGGTGCACTCCATGTCACCAACTTCATCAATAAGTTCATCCTCCTCTGTGTTGATGATCGGCAAATAGTTCATCCATTGTAGCCTTCGTCATTAACTTTAGTAAGAACTCAGTTTTTTCCAATTGGATCCTTCTGAGGATCAATTGCTGTGAATTGCTCAATGATCCACTCCTTTATGCTACAATATGCTCCCTTTCAATTTCTTTAGCTAGGAGATTTGCCCTCAGGGCAGCGATCTCATTATTTAAAGCATTCAGCTCTCTCCTCAGTTTGTTCCTTTCGTGTCTCAAAGTAATCATATTGTGCAGGTCTTCCTTAACATCCAAATGGATGTTCTCACTCTCCAACAGCACTCTCAGCTTAATTCATACAATCTCACATATTTTGATTTCTTCTGGAATAGCAAGTTGATCCATAGCTGGATTTCATGTATGAAGGAATATGCATTGTACAACAATTACTATGAAGGAATACACTTATACAAAACCAAAATTTGCTCCATAGTACCATGTATTATGTGACATATACAACAATTAATACGAAGGAATATGCATTTCAAGTCAAACAAAAGTTGCTCAATAGTACTATTAAATGTGTAGGTTGAGATATTCCATCTTTACCTAGTAGCAAATAAGCAAAACAATATATACACAGACATGCATAAGCAGCACAACTGTTTCAAACTTGCTGAGCATAAAAGTTGAATAAAAGAGTAGAAGAGAAACAAAATCAAGATTTTAAAAGCTGATAGGAAGTAGAGGGTAGCATGCCTTGGGCTGTGACCTAGGGCAATCCCAAACAAGGTTGGTCCCGACCCACATGATAGAAATGTATATATATCCCCTCCACCCAAAGGAAGGGGGATTGGATTATCCTGACTCCGTCGCAACATAAACTTGAGCTTTCTCTTGTTACTCTCCCATAACCCTAGTTTAGAATCCATCAGTATTGAATCATCTTCTTATCTACAGTGCGATAAACCCACTAGGTATCCAAATTTGGGTATGATAATTGAAATGATGATAATAAATCAAATATGAAATAAGCATAGAGGCTTAATGGAAACCTTGAGCTCAATGGAAGAGATACAGTGCAGTGTAGGTCGAAATGTGTAATTAGGTTTCTCAAAGATTCCAGTGCACTGAAAGCCCCATTTGATTTCAAACACTCCTCTCTCGTAATGAAGTAACATGTTTGACTTCATAATGTTTAGGGAAAGTGTTGAAAAGTGAAAAATTGGTGATTGGAATATATTTGGAAAAGAGAGAATTGTTGTGAGCCTCACATATTCATTTCCTTAAAGGAAAAAGTAAAAGAGCGAACCTTTTTTTTGGGCATCCAAAAAGGAAAGTGTGAACTATTTTACCAGGCGAAGGGAGTATATCATTTAAGTCGGGTCTAAGGAATTGATTTTTTTGTCCTAAGCATTAGATATTCCTTTAGTTTTTTTTTTGGTATCCATTAAGATTGTATTTACTGTTTAATGAAAATGCAAAACAAAGCAAGATAAATACTGTTTTTGTTCAAGTTGGAATAATCTCCAAACAGAAAATTCAAAATATTTTTATTGCATGTCTAAAGTGTGTGTGTTAAACCTTATTGCTTGGCAGTAGTGATCAGCTTACTTTTTATTCTCATTCTTCTGGTTTTGGTTTAGCAATTGGATGGTGACAAAAATGATGAAGGGGGAAAATATTAAGCCAAAACGGGAAACCATTTTATTGGCAGTTTGTCCTTAAGTGACCTACTTAATCGACATGAATGCTAAGAGAATGTCATTCCTGAATCCTGATACTACTTACTCCTTTATAGTTACTAAAGAAATTACAAATCCAAATACAAGTTCAATTGAAGTCCCATCTTCAAGAATTACAATTGTGGGTTCTTGTTAGGATCAAAATCACATTGAATTACTGGGATCAACATCTCACAACCAATGAAAATCTGAAACCGAAACATGTTCCATGTAGAAAGTTTCATTATTGGGAAATACAACCAGGACCAGGTACACCCCTTGGGCCCCAAACTCGACTCAGCAAAACCCCTTGGGCCCCTAAACCCAGCCTGGCAAAACCTCAGGTCCAAACCCCATATACTCTCATTTTTAAGCCCAGCCCATGAACCCCTATATAAAGTAATTCCCCTGTTCCCTCTGGGAATCAATCCCTGATGAACGGGGGTGAAACTTTGGTGGTCCTTCCAATTGACCAAAGCGCTTTGTTTCCAAGTAGAAATGTTTCCAATGAATGTTTCCTAACCTTTCTAAAGTGAGATATATGGGCCGTATGACATTCAAAAAATTCAATTTAAAAAAAATAACAATATACCCTCCATCCTAAAAAGTGTTTTGTTTATGATACTGAACCAGTATTGCAAACATAGCACTTTTTGGAAAGAAGATGATAAAAGTACTAATAGCAGCAACAAAATTTCCATTTTCTTGAACTTTGTGCCCGGTCAAACGGGAACTAATATAGGGAGTAGGGAGAGGTGGAGTAAATAAAAATGAGCCTCAGAAGAAAAGGAATGAAAGTACCAGGTTTCCTTGTTCTCTCTCCCATAAGGAGCACCTTTCATCTGCAACTTAGTTGCAGAGCTTCCAAAAGACAGGGCTTCGGAGTTGGCAATGGGATATAACGGCATGCCTTGGAAGCTCCGGTCAGAACTTTGAAAACTTCCACAGGTACTATTACTGCTCCCAGGAGTAATGTGTGACATCGCAGTTGACAATGTATGGGCAGCAGCTGATTGAGATTCCACAGGCTTTCTTGAACGGTTGCGGCCTCTGTGCATGTGCCGCTCACAGTATTTGGAGTCAGGATATGCATCCTTGGAGCACCTCCACTTCTTTCCATCTGTCCTTCGGCACCTCCCTGGCTCTGGATCAAACTTCTTCCCATAATAGGAACAGTATCCCACTGCACATGAAAACACTACATAAGTAGCACATCCACAAGCAGAGTACATGTCACATGAGCATTTGGGACGGCTTATTTTCAGGAAATACATGCTTTTTACCAGAGAAATGTGTGTTTACTTCAACGATGAGTTTTAGCAACACAAGAAGGAAGTGTTTTAACAGTAAAAAAACATGTTTATTGCTTATATATGAAAGACAACCTAATTTCAAGAAGCTACTCATTGTGTTACCCTCATTCATTAATAATGAGGTATTTTAGAAAGTTGGCAGCATAAGACAGACGGAAGGAGTGCATAATAATGAGAGGACATAATCTTGGGAATCACATGAATATAAGTAGCGCTCAGCATGTCTTTTTCCCCCAATAAACAATGCTCTTTTTTTAGCTATGAATGTTTCAAACAATCAATTTCCACTTTTGACATTTAAAATCCAACACAGAGCAGCTGAAGCATTTACAGAAGGTTACTAATTAGAAAAAAAAATACTATAACAAATATGAAGCCAAACACAATATGCAAATAACAGTAGGAAAAAAAGAAGTATATGAAAATACACCCATTAACAAAGGAGTAAAGATGGGGGGGAAATACAGCTTGGATGATGGAAGAGCCTAGAAGATAGAGCTTCCAAGCTTCTACGAATGGGGACAACCAAGTCTGGCGGCACAGGGACACCGGCAACCAAATACTTGTATATCATAGCTTGGTGCTCCAGCTCCTGCCATTGCACCGCCGTGAAGGGCGGCCTGTAACCATACCCATATCTCATCCCCACCCCCACGCCGCCCCCTGCTACAGATGTGGAAGTCCCACTCATTTCCCACCCCCCACCCACCCCCCAACTCTCTTAGCAACCAAGAGAAATCCCAATTTTGTCCCGTTTTGGTTGCCACTTCACACTACAAGAAAAAGATGCTATAACAAGATATCAGTGGAGGGGCAGATACAGATGCATAACGGTATGTAGGGAGATAAGAGGGAAAGTGGGATGGTAGTCAATGATTGTTGGGTGCATTACTTAACTGCTGCTACTACCTAAGAGGGGGACAGATCTAGGGTTTGGACAAACATGGAAGGGGAGCAGATAGAAAAAGCTGTGTGGGGAAAGTGAAAGATAGTTTTGAGTTTTAACTGTGCTGTGTGAGAGAATGATAGTTATGAGGGGGTGGGGACAAAAGATGCTCTCCTACCTGAGTTTTAGTTTTTGTGAAGGACTTGAAGAGGTGTATGAATGAGGTGTATGAATACTTGGTGAGGTCGAGTTCGATCACTTCGAATTCCGGTTAATTGGAGTTTGGATTTGGAATCATATGTTCATGACTCAGTGTCATCGGGTTCAGATCAATCAAACAAGTTATGACTTTAGTTTTTAAATTTTTTAAAAACTCGTATTAATATTTGCATTTTGCATTGATTAATTTTAAAATATAAAAAAATATGTATTAAATCTATTAGATTATTTTATTTTAAATTTTGAATTAATTTTTAGATTTATAAATCAATATAAGAAATTTAAAAAAAATGCATAAATTTTGAAAAAAATTAAGATAATTATGCAACATCATTAAAGATTTGTCTAAAAATATAAATTTATACACTAAAAACGAGTAGTAAGAAATTAATTACAATAATAACCTTATTTTTATAATATTATATTTCAAGGTAAAGTATGTATAATTTTCAGAAATTCTTACATTGGTGGGTCGGTCAGATCAGGTTTGAGTTTAATGGGGTTTGACCTATTTTTGGCATGTCATTTCGAGTTCATTCAACTTTGGATTTCACCATCAAAATCTTTATTCAAAACCCTATGTTTTAAGGTCAGGTTTCGGGCAAGAATAAGTCGGGTCGCTTTTTGTCAAGTCTAGTACTTATGACTAATCTTCTAAAAATGCACCGGATATGAATTGGAAATATATGAGGTGTTTCCATGTGCTGATACTTATTAGCTTATTGCTGATAAGTAGTTTTAACTTATAAGTTTCTTTATAAGCCAAATATTCTTTTGTGGAAATAAAATGACTTAAATGATTGATAAATCATTTATATATACTCATAAATGGTGAGGAACAATTTAATTTGTTCAAAACAGAAAAATAAAAAAATTGACTTAAAAGTAAATAACTAAGGCCTACTTATTTTTTAGCTTATAAGTAACTTATAAGTCAATTTATAAATATACAAAAACATGTCATTAGCTAACTTATAAGTTAAAAACTACGTATAAGCAGTTTTGACGATAGAGAAATGCCCTCATAATTGACTTGGGTTAATTCGTCGAATTGATGGAACATGGTCAACAACCCAATAAACTTATTGGCCTTTTTTCTCTTTCGCTAAATGATAAGTGTATCTTTAAAATTTGGTTCAAATTCTATTATTTGTACATTGTACTTTTATTTGAGTTTCAAGTTTTTGTAGATGAATTTAAAAATACAAGCAGACATTTAAAATATTATTTTGTTATCATCTGTTTACTTTAATTTGTGAAATATAAACTAAGTTTTATAAGCATTTATTGCATTTATTTTTTCATTTTTAGATTTTAGTATTTCTTTATTTAAACATACTTTTTGAGTTTCAAAAAAAAGTTTTGTGACATTTTAAAGTTTAAATTGGGTGTGTATGTATTCATCTCAATTTGTACCAAAATCGATATCGAACCATCCAAATACGACGTAAAATCTCACATTGAACCAAAGTTTTTGGTACGGTATCTGTACAAGCTAAATATTGTACCATGCTCACTCATACTCTTCTTCATTTGGAGCGTGAAACTTAAACTTTGAGTTTCTCCTTTTCCGTTCCCAGTTGTTGGTGAAATAATTCTGGTTGTTGTGTTGTAAGTCTTTTCTTTTCTTCAAGTCGTATTAAGCTACGATACTGAGTTAAGAGATTCAAATTTCATACCTCATGACGCTTCACCTCATTGCTTTAATGTTTTTATGTAAAGCTAACAATTTAAGGGGTCCCAACCCATCTTTGTCTTGTTGTTTGCTCCTTCTTTATAAGACAAACTTATCTACCTCTTTTGTGATCCCATTGAATATTCAGACATGACCCTTGAAGCCTATATTTTTTTCATGGGTTTGAGGCATAATTTTATCTATTTTGAACAATTAAACTCTAGCACTCGGAGTCTGATTGCTTTTTCTTCAAATGACAGTTTACCGAGCATTGATTCTCGAAGTTTGTTTGGTATTACATAATAGCACACATGGAGGGGAGCTTAGGGCAGGGTGGAGTGGGGGGGGGGGCTAGGGGTGGGGCTAGAATGGGGGGTTTAGGGAGTGGGTTGGGAGGTTTGGAACCATCAATTTTTTGATTAGAGCATCGGAGGTGTTCCAAAATATAGTGGTACCACTAATGTCACTGTTGGCGTACAATGGACCAATGGGGTGATAGTAGTGACGATCTAGCACTAGGAGATATCAAAACTTTCAAATCTTTTAAATTGAGATGTATCTAAACACATTGAATTGATATCTTTATCTCAAAACTATTCTCTCAATTTGATTTTAAAGAAGTTAAATTGACGAACAACAAATTGACATTATATATATACCGTACAATCAGTTGTACAGTATTTCTCATACATTCGTTGTTTGTATTCATTTACGATTAATTGAATGTTCATTTTCAAACAATTCAAAACTTACTTTTCTTAAATCAAATTATATTTAAAAATGAGTATTCATTTGCTCAAAAATTAGTATTGATATATGTATGGAATACTAGTAAACGGGATGCTCTTTTAACAATTTTTTCAAGTCAAGTGAGAGAGAAACACCGTTTTCCTTAGCTTAGCTTTCCATAGTAGCCCCCTCTCTTTTCCTACCCCGGAGGAATTTTTTAACAATTTCCTTGATAAATCCCACACCCAGTTGGCCAATTGTCTCTCTTCGTCGCCGGCTGCCCCTCTCCCTGCAAAGCTGGCGCCAAAGAGTACTCATCACGCTCATGTCTTTCTGCACATAGATACGTAAGCACTTCAACTTTATTTATTTCCTTATTTAATTCTCAATGTTCATCCCAAATTTAATGCTGTAATTTTTGTGCTAAAACTTTTTTCTTTAAAAAATAATCAATACTTTTATTTTCCGCGCGTGTGTGGGCGCATCGGCATGGCAATGCATTTCTCGATCGTATTCCGCCGTTTGAATCCATCGTCACTTGTACATGATCGAGTTCATGTGCCGTGTGTCGTTGTTGTGTTTTCCAGAATTTTCACGAAGGTACTTCAAGTGGTAGAATTCCGGATTCGATCGGTGGCGATCGCGGAGCGAGGTCCGAGATTCTAGTTGCTCTAGGCGAATTTTGTGGAATTTTCAGAGAATTTGGAATTTTTCTCACGGCGAATTAGCTTTGGAACAAATTGGAGTTGCAGTTGGACTCTCAGCGAAATTGAGCGTGGATCCATTTATGTTTTTCTTGGAGCCGTGGATCAATTTGTATAAGCTTGGTTGAAGTAGCGGAAGTGAAGATATTTGAGTCCTAGCTTTTGGATAATCTTTTGCAAGTCTTTTAAGCTCTGGCTGGACAGTGGGGGTCTAAGATATTTCGAAGACCATCCGACGATGTCCAAAGTGGTGTATGAGGGATGGATGGTGAGATATGGACGAAGAAAGATAGGGAGATCATTCATTCATATGAGATATTTTGTTCTGGAGACTCGGTTGCTGGCTTACTACAAGAGGAAGCCTCAGGACAATGTGGTATGCTCTCAGAATTCTGTTCCTGTGTTTTTTTTAATTTATAGAAATTACATTTCCACAAACTTTTTCCCTCTACTTGGAAGGCCATTTGATAAAAAACTATGCAAAATCACAACAACAATAACATACCCAACCCAGTCCCACTAGTGGGCATAACAGACTATGTATCTTTATCAACAAGTTGATTGAGTTGAAAAAAACAAGTTGATTGAGTTGATTTTTTAAAATTTTGAAATGTATGTTATTAGAATTAATTGCAATATATGCTATGCTCAATGAATTAGGAGAAACAGCGTGCACTCTTATAAAAGAACTTTAAACATTAACAGTTATTTTCTTTTGTTATTCTTATAAATTTGAACCAGACATTTCACTTTCCAGTATGGAGTTTGAAGCGGGGGATTGGGGTGAGTATCCCCCAGATATTGTAATTTTCCACTCTTACTAATGATTGATATTGTCCCTTGGTCCAAAACAATTAAATTATAATTAGGTTCCAATCAAGACACTTCTCATAGATGGCAATTGTCGGGTTGAGGACCGTGGGTTGAAGACTCAGCATGGACATGTGAGTTGTTCTCTGCTTAATTGTTTTGTCAATAAGAGTGATCATGTTGTAATACTTTTTACTTCTATAAGCTGCACATGTTTTTTCATTCTCTTGGCATAAAGGAATTTTAAAGTATTGTCAGTATTGTTCTCAAATGTAGTGTGAGGGGTGGGTATTTTGCTTGTAACTATAGTGCTTTTCCAGTAAGTAATTTAAGTGTCACTGCTGATTGAAGCCTGCAAGAGGTTGGACAGTATGCTGTATATATCTCTGGAATCATTAATCCTTTTTGTCATCTTTGCAGATGGTCTATGTCTTGTCTGTTTACAACAAGAAAGAGAAGTATAATCGTATCACGGTATTCATTATTCTTTCACAAGCACTATGATGGCAATCGGTTTATTGATTGATTAACTTGGAATACTGCAAGGATTGCATAGGAGTTAAATTTTGGACTTTCTTAAATTTCCATTTAGAACCACATTTATCAGTTTGAGCACTGGACATATTGTTTTTCGTTGTCTTACTCTAGCCTGCATAATAGTTGGATTTTATCATGCTAAACATGTGTTCGTGTGTGGGGGGGTGGGGGTGGGGTTTTAGTATCTCCTCTATAGCTTAGTTTATAACATTTTCTTGAGATGAATGAGAATATTTTTAAATAGAGAATAGAATAGTCAAATATCTTTGCATGTTTATCATCAGTGAGATTGGAACTCTTTGTTGTGAAAAGTAGTTTACTTTTGATAGATTTTTTCCCTTCTAAACACTTCCACGGCATACATTCTACATTCTACACTGTACAATGTCACTTAAATGACTTAATAAGACTAATGT